GCTTAGCTGGAGGAGGGCAAGCGATTGTCGCCTCACCGCACAGGCTCCATAGGAAATGAATGGAGAGCGAACGACATCGCCTCCCGTGTGTCGAGCCCTTTAAGCAGTCTTCCAGCTACTGTAAACTGGTAATCTTTGGCAAATTCCATCATTTCTGGCTGCATATTAAAACAATCATATACAGTATTTTATATTGGATTTAGACAGCTGAACAAAAATCAAACACTGTGGATTTTAAATTATTTTAATTTTACTTTTTTACAATTAGGTTTAAAAAAAAAACAGTTGTTTTATTTTTGAGATTTTATTTTGAAAAACCAAAGCGTAAACCATACATGAATTTGGCAGCTATCTTAAGATTCAGGTAGTAATTTTGTTTGTTTATGTTCTGTCAGGTCGCACGAGTGTAAAATCGATTGTGTGTAAGATGAACCCTGTCAACGACGAGGCTTCTTCGGGTTCAGAGGTGAAGAAGTGGTGGACCCGTCAGCTGACTGTGGAGAGCGACGAGAGCGGAGACGACCTCATAGACCTGTAGAGAGGTTCATGGTGGACTGTGCAGGAGAGAGAACGCCTGGAAACCTTAATAAACTGGAGCTGTGTTGAACAACGGAGTGGGCCAAAATTTCTCCACAACCTTGTGAGAGACTATTAATATCAGACAGAAACCCACTGAGAGCCATTGCTGCTAAAGGAGGTCCTACAAGCTGTTGAATCATGTGTGTGTAGTTTTTCACACCGCTTTTGTATTTTGCTTCATTTTTTTGAGTGTTTTTGTACATGAGGTTAGATTTGAATAAGATCAGATCATTCTTAAATATTCCCTGATACAGAAAACYCTAGATTTATTTGAGTGTACTTGAGTGTACTCGACTGTACATGACAAAATGTGCACTGGTTCAGCTGACAACAATGAAAGATTAATTTTAATAATGTTTGATGAGTGTGTGGTAACACATAAAGGCTCCAAAACCTGTTTTATTGTACAACAATTTGACAGATTAGCTTGATTAAATGTAGTAGTTATTCTCAATTTATGAAACTAATGTTGTCAGAGACGTGCTTAAAAGCTGATGAAACCAGAGATCTGGTCAAATAAGCAGTGGAGTCCTTTTATTGATGTTTGAAACTATGACACAAAGTAAAATTTTGACTCACCTCCTCTGAAATAAGACAGGGACCAAACTGACAAAAAAAACATTAAGTCCAGTCTTTTTTTTATCTGTTCTTGTCACTTTGTCTCACTAAATACTTTTTAATAAATGAAAAATAGACAGAAATTATATTGATGAAAATAAATAAAAGATAAATATTCAAAGCTTTTCAGCCTTGTTTCCACAGCTCGCACACTTGACCTCACTACTCATATATATAAGAAGAATAAAGTCAAACTAATTTATTCTTGTATTTTAAAAAAATAATTCTTACAGGCTGACTCTAAGAACTCCGTTGGAGTGTTAGGGATATTTTTGAGAAAAAATAAATTATTTAACCAGACCCACTGTATCTCTACCACATATATTTAGTCTGCAGTTAACTGTAAGAAAATGCTCTTTTGTGTTTAACATCTCTAACCATTTAATGTGAGGGAAAATGTAACTGTGTGTGTGTGTGTGTGTGTGTGTGTGTGTGTGTGTGTGTGTGTGTGTGTGTGTGTGTGTGTGTGT